GAACACTTAATACTTGGCATGGTACAAAACGGGCAGGGACCTTGCACCATGTGTTCTCTCCTTTCTCTTTCTAGAATCTCCACATGGGCGGCAGTAAGTCTGAAGTTCAAGTGTCTGCTTGAACTCACTCATTGAGCTGTTAGGGATGCCCTCTTTGAGCTTAGTTCTGAGACATGTGTAGTAAATATGACCTCAATTATTAAGAGGCTATGAGCCTGTTAAGGATGCAGAATTTGAATCAGAAGAAAACCTTCCATAATCTTTCATTAACACCCTAACCATTTACAAGAAGAGGGAAGCCACTGATAGACAATTTCATTCAAGACTTTCATTTTACCAATTGGAAGGCAAAGCCTTACGGAAGGGAACTGAAGTGGTTCAAGGACAAATTAATATTGGAACCTCGTTTCTGCAGTTGTTCCCCGGTGTTCTCACTGCTGCTTCTTATTGCCTCACTTTAAGATCTCCTTCCTGCTGATAGAATTTTCTGTGCTTTCCCATGTAGTGCCCTGGGCTTGCTCTAAGCAGCATTCGGTGGATTATTAAAATGATGAGTGTTGGGGCTGGGGAGATGGTTCCGTGGTTAGGAGCACTTGCCATTCTTGCAGAGGACCTTAGTTGGGTTGCCAGTATTCATTTCCAGCAGCTCACAGCCAGCCAGAGCTCTAGCTTCAGGGGAACTGAAGGCTTCTGACCTTTGTGAGCATCAGAACTCATGTGCACCATTGCAAAACACACACACAAACACACACAGAAAAAAGGATGAGTTCAAAAACAATAGATTTACCTGAAGAATTTTATGCATTCTGATGCATACAATGCAAAACAACAAATGCTAAAGGCTTCAACTCCTATTCTTTGAGAAGAAACTAGAGCAATACTATTGTACAGTTTTATGTGGCTCATAGCAGAAACCTTTAACTTTGTGTCTTCAGCCTTTTTAGTTATTGTCTTGGCATATGACAAAGAAACCACAAGCTTGGATAGGCCAAGTCAAAGGCTACCAAGGGAAACAGGATTTACTCTGTGAAAAGGTGTTCTACCAGCCCACTTATATCCTAGATGACTAAGACAAATGGCTACATTGTCCCCTGAAACACTTATTTTTTTTTCTTTCCTTTTGGAGTACCTTACTAGTCTCCTTTTGTCTTCTCCATGAGCAATAAACAGTAACAGGCTTGCATCTTGTTACTATGGGAAAAGAGGAAGAATCTCAGTTCCTACTCAGCGTTTGTCCCTGGGCAGTGGAGTAATAGAGAATGTATGTGTTTATGAGAGCTATCTTAAACCTATGCTCTGGATGCCATCAAGAAAGAGCAGATAATTTTATATAAGGAAGCATGAGTTTTAAGAAAGGGGATTAAGCATGAATGTTACATAAATAGGAAGTTATTTCTCATACCATAGTACTACAACTCAAATAAAAGAAGTCTAGAAACGAGAGATTGTAGGTCAGATATATACAAGGAATTGGAAGGAAAACTTTGCCAATGGCTTCTTCTTACTGCTGATGAATAGTAGCATGATGGTTGTGTTTTGGTTTGACGATAGGTCCTGTTACAGGTTTCTTGTTTAATATTGTGTCTTGTGATTGGAGTGAAGTTGGAAAGCATCTTATATAAAACTGTCCAGCAAGAGAGGATGCTGAGCTGATGAGGGAGATTTCAGACCATAAAAAAAGCAAATTGATGCTGTAGCCTTAATTGACTTCTATAGCTTTTATAGATTTCCCCTGTGAGTGAATGAGAATTGACCTATTATTTGACATTGTAGTGTTAATTGATCGCTATAACTTTAATTAATTGATCCACAATGCTCAATAAAGGCTTGACCTTTTAAATACTTTTTAATTTTAATTATAGCATCTTGCTAGGTAGGGCTGGCCTGGAATTTACTATGAAGCTCAGATTAGATCAAGCTAGCCTCAAACTTTTTTTTTAATTTATTCTTCTCTTATATATTACATCCTAAATGCAGTTTCCCCTCCCTATCCTCCTCCCAGTCCCCACCTCCCCTTCTATTTCCCCAGATCCATTCCTCCTCTGCTTCCCCCAAGTAAAGGGTAGGACTCCCCTCCCTGGGATATCAACCAAACATGGCATATCAAGTTACACTAAGACTAGGTACATCACCTCATACTAAGTTACTCCAAGGCAACCCAGTATGAAGAGAAGGGTCACAAAAGCATATAAAAGCGTCAGAGACAGCCCCTTCTCTCACAGCTAGTTAGGAATCCCATAAGAACACCAAGTTCTATAACCATATCATATATGCAGAGAACCAGTCTCAGAACCATGCAGGCTCCCAGATAGTCAGTCCAGTCTGTGAGATACTATGAGCTGTGTTTAGTTGATTCTGTTGTCTTGTCCTTAATCCCTCTGGCTTCTACAGTCCTTCATCCCACTCTACTGCAGGATTCCCTGAGCTCTGCCTAAGTGGGTTTCAGCAGCTGCTCCCATCAGGGGATGAATGAAGCCTCTCTCATGGCTGTCAGGCTAGGTTCTGGTCTACTAGTATAGCAGAGTATTAGGAACCATTTCATTGNACCGTCTCCCATCTGCTGAAGGATGAAGATTCTCTGATGATGACTGGACATGGCACAGTATAGCAGAATATAATTAGAAATCATTTTATTGATTTTTTTTTTTTTGCCAGTCCTGTTTGGTTCTATCTTAGGTTTTGGGTTATCCGAAACCTGGTCCCTGGCTCTCCAGGCAGTGTCAGGCATGGACTCCCTCTGGTGGCATGAGTCTCAAGCTGGACCAGTCATTGGTTGATCATTTCCACAAGTTCTGCGCCACCCTTACCTCAACATGCCTTGCAAGCAGGACAGATTTTAGGTTGAAGGTTTTGTGGCTAGGTTGGTGTCCCGATCCCTTCAGTGGAAGCCTTATCTGGTTACAGAAGATTGCCAGTTGGGTGTCTTTATCTCCATAACTAAGGGTTTTACTAGGGTCACCCTCATAGAATCCAGGGAGTTTCTACTGCACTGGGTTTCTACCTTACCCCTGAAATACCCACCCCAATTCCAGTTGTCTCTCCCAGTATTATCTTCCCCTAACCCTACTCCATCCCTCCTGTTCTGTCTCTACTCGACCCTAGTTCACCAGAGATCTCTATTCCGTTTTCCCTACCTTGGGAGATAAATATGTCCCCACTGGAGACCTACTTGTTATGTAGCTTCTTTGAGTCTGTGAATTGTAGCATGATCTTCATTTACCTTACTACAAATATCCACTTATAAGTGAGTACATACTGTGTTTGTCTTTCTTTAACTTCACTCAGGATGATCTTTTTCCTAGTTCTATCCACTTGCTTGCAAATTTCTTGATGTTATTTTTTTCAACACCTGAGTATTACTCCACTGTACAAATGTACATTTTCTTCATCTATTCTTCGGTTGAGGGACCTACAGGTTATTTTTAGTTTCTGGCTGTTATTAATAAAGCTGCTATGAACATAGTTGCACATGTGTCTTCGTGATAGGATGGAGCATACTTTGGGTATATACCCAGAAGTGACATTGTTGGGTCTTGAGGTAGGATTGAGTCCCAATAATCTGAGAAACCACATGCTGATTTCCAAAATTTGCAGTCCCAGCAGCAATGGAGGAGTGTTCATCTTGCTCCACATGCATGCCAGTATGAACTTTTACTTGTGTTTTTGATCTTAGCCATTCTGACAGGTTAAAGATGGAATCTCAAATTAATTTTGGTTTGCATTTCTCCAAAGGCTAGGATCTTAAACATTTCTTTAAATGTTTCTTATCCATTTGAGATTCCTCTATTGAGAGTTCTCTTTAGATCTGTACACCACTTTTAAATTTAATTAGTTGTGTTTTGACAACCAACTTCTTGAGTTCTTTATATAGTTTGGATATTAGTCCTCTGTCAGATGTAAATTGGTGAAAATCTTTTCCTATTCTGTAGGCTGCTGTTTTAGCCTGTTGACAGTGTCCTTTACTTTACAGAAGCTTTTCAGTTTCATGCGGTTACATTTATCGGTTGTGGTTCGTAGGGTCTTTGTTATTGGTGTTCTATTCATGAAGTAGTCTCCTGTGCCAATGTATCCAAGGCTACTTCCCACTTCCTGTTCTATCAGGTTCAGTGTATCTTTTTTTTTTTTTTTAGGTCTTTGATTCATTTGGAATTGAGTTTTATAGAAGACAATAGATATTGATCTATTTGCATTCTTCTGCATGCTGACATCCAATTAGACTAGCACCTTTGGTTGATGATGCTTTTCTTTTTCCTTGTGTATTTCAGTCTTTTTTTTTTTTTTAATCAAGAAACTGGTGTCCATAGGTGTGTAGATTTGTCTGGGTCTTTGATTCAGTTTCATCTCTCAACTTTTCTGTTTTTGTGCTAATGCCATGAGGGTTTTTTTAGTTTTATAATATCTCTGTAGTACAGTTTGAAAACAGGGATGGTGATACCTCCAGAAGTTCTTTTATTGTACAGGCTGCTTTGACTATCCTGACTTTTTGGTGTTTCTACATGAAGTCGGGGGCAGGATATGGTGATGAAGGGAGGTGGTCTGTTGGGGAAAGCTGGGCAGCCACTGAGGAGTGATGGAGGTCTGTCGGTGGGGTCTTACCTAGGGTTCTGGGTATCAACATGGCCCATGGTAGAGACTCAAACTTTTTTTTTATTTAAAAATGTATTGCTGGGCGTGGGTGGTGCACACATTTAATCCCAGCACTCAGGAGGCAGAGGCAGGCAGATCTCTGTGAGTTCAAGGCCAACCTGGTCTAGAGAGTTAGTTCCAAGACAGACTCCAAAGCTACAGAGAAACCCTGTCTCGAGAAACAAAACATATTTAATTTTCGTTGCCTGCCCACAATTTTCTATTCTTACCTCCATTTCCTAAGTGAGCTAGCTGGGTTCAGAGAAAGCAGTCAGCTTTCCCAGAGCTGACAGGGGATAAACTGGCATTCATGCCAACATGTTTGCTAACTGGGAATGAAGGCTGCAGCTAACCCAATATCTCTCTGCTTGCAGAAGCTGACTGGGGAAGTGGGCAGCCCTGACGTGATGTCCTCAGCGAGTGAAGATACTCCATTCCAGAGGAGGTCTACTTGACACATCTGGGAGGCCGCCGTCTGAAAGACTGCCACTCTGGTGGCGAAAGGAGTGATAGCTGCATTCTCCTGTGCCTACCACATAACCAAAAATGAAGGAGAACTACTGTTTACAAGCTGCCCTGGTGTGCCTGAGCATGCTATACCACAGCCAGGCGTTGGCCCTGGAGCGACGAAACCACCTGCGGCCCCCATTCCATGGACACCATGAGAAGGGCAAAGAGGGCCAGGTGCTGCAGCGCTCCAAGAGAGGCTGGGTCTGGAACCAGTTCTTTGTGATAGAAGAGTACACTGGGCCTGACCCTGTGCTTGTGGGCAGGGTAAGGTTGTTTGCATTCGATATTGATGTATCTGTACATGTTTATTATCAGATCAGTAGGACATCGCCAAGACAAATGCTAAGCAAAAATTAAAAACAGGCAATCAGACAAAAGCGAGACACAATAAGCCAAAAACTAACAAAAGCCAAGTTAGAAAGCACTAACGACTGGCTACCACTAAAAAAATTAATCATATTGTATAAATATCCTTTCAGCATCTTCCCCTCATTCATAGACTTAACCACATTGAGAACGCTTCTAATATTCACTTCTTACACCATAAGAACTCAATTAGTAGAAATTGCTTTGTAGTCTGTTGAAAGCAATACTGCCATAATTTACCGAGCCATTCTTCGGAATGGAGAAATTTCTTTGATTGTATCCTAACTCCAACTTGCCTGACCCCATTTGAATGTTCTCATGTCTCCCTGTGTCTTTTCATCGTAACTTTCTTTCCTGTTTTACCTCTGCCTGTCTCTTTAATCAGATTTCATTCTACTTTGTGTAAGGGATTTGATTACCTTTCAACCCCCAGGTCTTGGGGGTTCACACAAACACAAGGATATGAATGAGTGTGATTTTATCCTCATTGCCTTCTTGTATGGTTACACAACAGCTAGATTTGTACTTCTCCTTAGGTTGTGCATTTGCTATGCCACTCCATCAAAAATATAAATGTAGAGAGTCCAAATTACAGTTGTCAAACTGACCTTCTACTACTTATTAAGATACAATACGTGGCTCTTTTAGATGATACTGACATAAGTTATTAGGAGACAGACATTTTCACATACACAAATTGAATATGCACTGTGTGGAGAAGAGGTGATAGGCAGAGGATAAATCAGGTGAAAGCAATAACTGACCTCAAATAATCGAGGGAACGGAGTCATCCATGCATTCAATTAAAGAAGAAAGAAAAACTCCAGGTAGAATGAGAAGCGTCATAAAATTCAATTTAATCATTATGAATTTATGTCCTTAACACTTGTGAAAAAATAGAGGCAAGTACCTAGTAACTTCTAGCCTGAAAGTTAAGTAGAATTGGTTCAACATAGAGGAAGAAATGTAAGCACAGATGATAGAGACACACACCTCTGAACACCAAGGATGCCAATGAAGTTGTCTTACTTGTCCTTTTGTATGAAAACGGCAATCTGATTTTTAGACTCTGTGAAAGGGCATGATAATCTCCACATAATTTAGAACTGGGAATATGGTTTTTAGAAATATACTAAATAAATTTATTCATGTATACATAAAGTGGAAAATGCAAAGAGATAGTCTTGATAAAATGGAAATACAGGGAAATAATTGACAAGCAGGCTCCCTAGGCTGATGTGTGGTGCTAGTCTACAGGATGAGAAATGAAAAATATAGCCCAGAAAGGCCGGGCAAAATAGCTCGAACCATGTGCAAAACTGGGTAGGAATTGCTCTGGGAAAGTGACCTGTGCTTAGTCGCTGTCTTAGTGTGGGGCAGCATGTGTTGAGGCTTGAAGTTTGCAGAGAAGACAGGACTTAGTGAGTCAGATGAGTTTTCTTCTCTTTGGATCTAGCAAATGTTATATTACAAGGGAGAAGCACAGCAAAAAAGAAGGCAAGGGAAAACCTGGCATCAACCCCTGTCTGATCTTGAAAATTTAGGCTCATAAAAGAAGTCTTGGTAAGATAGAGTGTGTGTGTGTGTGTGTGTGTGTGTGTGTGTGTGTGTGTATGATGAGCAGCTGGATCTGGGAAATCTTTTCTTTTCCTTTTGAAATAGTGTTGAGATGGATCTCCCTTAAGTAGGAGGAATAGTTGACTTTTTCTCTAACAACCTTTGAATGGTGACATTCAAGGTTGAATGCTTTAAAATTCCCTGAAAAGGTAGAATTTGGCAAAGCAAAAAGACCTACAGTTTTCATGTCAAAAATTCAGCCCGTGCCATGCTGCTCTGTGCAAAGAGAGAAGTCATCAGTCTTGGGCGTCAGGAACTGGCTGTGCGTGCCTCGGCAACTGGACCCTTGATAGCTCTTGCTGTGTTCCCAAACCGCTTTTGTGGGGAACCTAATAAATAGTATTGTCAGTATAATGCATTATCTTTGTGAGAGAGTAAAACTAGTGAAGACTTAGCAGACTTTTAAGGGTTGGAGAGCGTGGAGACAAAGTAGAAACATGACGAACAGAATGCACAGCAAAATTTCAGGTATTTGTCTAATTATAAAATTCATCTCTTTTTTCTTATGTAATGCATGGAGACCCCGAGAAACTTTCAGTGGTTTGACATTGATATTTATTTCTTTGTTCCCCATTCATGGGGCTGAACCTCTAACTTTTGATATTTGTGAAGCAGAGGAATAAAAGGAAAACAACAGTCGTAGAGAGGTAGCAGAAGGGAGCACAGACCTTGAAGAAAACAGCACGAAGGTTGGGCAATTCTACTTGCCCACTAAAGTCCATCAAATAACTTCAGATAGTCAACCTCTTATGAAATATATCAGCACATCCCATTGAAATGATGGGTTGTTTTGACTAACAAGTTCTGAAGTAAACTCTGGTTGCGCTCCCTGCTCCAGAAGCTGTGGAGTCCACAACCTAAGTGGTCTTGTGTTCACCTCTGAGCTGAAATGTTTGCTATTTCACTAGAACACTGCAAATAAATTAGATATCTTTTGGGAAATTAAAATGACGCAAACATTTTAAAAAGTAGTATACTCAGCTTAGTTTTGTTTTTCTTTTGTGAACCTCATGCAAGCTGTGTAAGACATAGTTTGATAATAATAATAGAAATTCTGCTGAAATAAAAGAAAGTGATATTAGTATTCAAATTAAATCAATTAATATTAAATGATAATTAGTAATAGTTTCTGTTGTTGTGAATGCTATTTTTTGCTGAAATTCTATGTGAAACAGCTTTTTTAAATCTCTTAGATATTTTTCTAATACTATAAGACAATGTAAAGTAACATTTATATTTTTCCACAAGAGGAAATAATGAAGGCAAAGGAACTCAAAAATCATGAGGATTTAAAGGGAATGGAAGGAGTTTATTGCTGTGAGAAAATTAGTGAGGTCTGCTCTGAATCACAGAACAGAATTGAGTAGAGCTGGTAGCAAAGATGACTATCATAACCGTGGATTCTTGACATGTCAGTTTAAAAATTGTCTTTAGGCTCTCTGGAAAATGTGAAAAATCCAACCATATTGGAGGTTATTTCAAGGGTCTGAGGGCTACATGTCTACCCTCCTGTTACACCATCCTTTGTGGTCATAGGAGACTCTTCTAAGAAGATAAGAGACCCAGATGGTAGACCCTGACTATTAGGCAGATGATCTGTAGAAGTCTGATTATCTGAGTTGCCTGTAGTTGCAAAAACCTGGACAATATAAACATCTTTTGAGGAGGATCTCTGGAAGAAATGACAGTAATATCAAGCGGAATGTCATGAGGAATGTTTTTGAATCTTTATGGTGAATGAGTTACAGAAGTTGCAGTTAGAGGAAACCACAAGAATAGCATGTAATCTGTGGCCCAGTATTATGTGAAATGAACAGGAACACTTATGAATTTGTGGAGATCAGCTTATATATGTATAGACTTGAATAAATAGCTCATAAAAGAACTGGTAAAAAAAATGTGATTTCTAGTGAAAGAAAGTGAAGGAACAGTAGTAAAATTTGAGAGAAAGATACTCCATAAATCCATGCTTACATCTGCTCAAAGTATATGCATGTATTTCTTTCAAAATGTGTACATATATATTTTGTATGTATGCATATATACATAAAAGAAGAGAGTAAGTACATTAAATTTCAGAATTAAATATTTACTTATATTTTAGCCTCATCATTACCTAACTTGATGTCCTTGGTCATGGTAGTTATCTATGACTGGATTTTGACATTCAGAAAATGATGGTGAAAATGGCTTGCTCTCATGATATATGTATGAGTGTATGTATGTGCACATATATGTGCATGATGTAGCAATCAGCTTGTGAATTTTCATTGTGTTCCTTATGAAATTACAAGTCCTGTTTTCTCTTTTTCTAGCTTCATTCAGATATTGACTCTGGTGATGGGAACATTAAATACATTCTCTCAGGTGAAGGAGCCGGAACCATTTTTGTGATTGATGACAAATCAGGGAACATTCATGCCACAAAGACACTGGACCGAGAAGAGAGAGCCCAGTACACACTGATGGCTCAGGCAGTGGACAGGGACACCAACAGGCCACTGGAACCACCATCAGAATTTATTGTCAAGGTCCAGGACATTAATGACAACCCTCCGGAGTTTCTGCATGAAACCTATCATGCCAATGTGCCTGAGAGGTCCAATGTGGGTATGTAAGTTGGGGTCACTTGCTCCACTCCTAGCTGGTGTCTTTGCCGGTGGGCAGGCTGGTTCCTGTCCTCCAAGCTCAGAGCCAGAGCCTGTGTTGAATCTTTATTGCATCTTAACAGGGAAAAATTATTTAATCGGATATTTTCTTTTATTAAAAATAGCTATCTTTCTTACATAATGTATCCTGATTATGGTTTCTTCTTCCTCTACTCCTCCTAGTTTCACTCCTGCATCTCCTCCCATCTGGAGCCTCCCTCTTTCCATCTCTCAGTAGAAAACAAACTGCTAAGGGATATTGATTGAAGAAAACATAGAAAGATAAAACAAAAACTAATGCATTAGAATAGGACCAAAGAAACAAACAGAAGGGAAAGTGCCCAAGAAAAAGAGAGTACATGAAACAGATATAGATACAGAAACTTGGATTTTCAAATGTTCATAATAGACTTGGATGTTGTAAAGTCAAGAGATAGTAAGAGTCAATGGGGGAAGAATATGATTTAGTTTAGCAAATCCTGACTCAGAGTGTCAACTAAGTCATGTGGCACCACTTAACTTCTTTCTTTGTAGAATGGGAGTAACGATTTCCCATCTTCAAAGAGTATTGATGAAATGCATCCAGTCACTAGGGCATATTGATGTCCATTAAGTACCAGCAATGACAATGTTTGTTGCTTGTGGGATTTGTGTTAACTGATTGGGTCTATACCCTATCTTGTTTAACTTGGCCATGATTAAACTTTGCAAAGCAGTGGATCTAGTTACCCACGAATAAATGAGAAACAAAAGCAGAAACAGTTTGACCAATTTAACCAAGGTCGTTGTGCTACGTAGTTCATGCAGCATGCATCATCTCATGCAATACGCTTAAAAGACACACTGCTTTTTGCAAAGATGGAATTCTGATTGTTTCTTCAAGCAGTGGCCCTCAGGTATCACTTTCACTTGAATTTCCAAAATGTGCATGGTTATCAGCATGGTTATCATCTTTTGCGGCAGTCTGATCCGTTAAGCTTGAGTGAATCTAAAGACAACCAGAGACTTTTTGTTTTTCACTTTACAAATGAGAATAACAAGCAATGAATATGAGGATTAAGCTTACTCAAGAGAGTCAGCTGTGGCGTCGGAAGTTCAAGGTTCTTCCAGTCTCTGTGCGGAGCCTATTGTGCTCATTCATCTCTTCCCTCCTTCCCATCACCCATCACCTTTTCTTGTGTTGTCCGCTCCGCTGTTTATTCTACCCTCACATGCAAACTCTAAGGAGAAGCAGACTTGAGGAAGTGGGGCTAGCTAGGCATCCAAACTGATAACCCATTGGACTTATAGTTCTCTTCAGGGGACATTTTGTGTCTTGGGCAGTGCCCAGATTTTCTACTATACCACATGACAACTATTGTCTTTGTTGTCAGATGAATATGTGATCCTGGCTTCTTTGTATACCTTCATAAATTATCATTTTGTCAACTAGTCAATGATACAATGAGGTTCATGTTTACAATGATGGTTAAGTAAATATATAAAATAGAAAAAGTTGACAATTACTTAGAAAATTATAGAATTAAATGAAATCATAAAAGTAACTTTATTATTATTAATAAATAAATAAATAGTAACTTCTTTGAGCATGCCATGACATTTTTATGTTAATCTTCATTTTCGAGAATGTTTCCTGGCTTGTTAGGAGTAGTTAAAAAATGACAGTGGTATAAAAAAACTGATTTTGAAAAGAGAATTTGGAAGATTGGTATTTTTCTTGTATTTCTCATGGAAGTCACAGTAAACCCTGTGAAGTAGGGGATGGCTTTCTTTAAGCTGTCTAGAGGGGTTCTGTACCCTGACAGGAGGAACCCTACTTCTGCTGACAGAATCAGAGAAGGAACTTGGGTTTTACTATTGCTAGATCTGGATTAGACTCCTGACTCTGACCGTAAATAATTTTGAAAGAGATTTCAAAATGTCGTATCTCTCATACCAAATCTCCCCCAAGTAAAAAAGATGCAAAAATGTCTAGCGGAGGAATGTTGGCACATCATATGGAATTTAGTACAAACACTGCTTGGCACAGATAAACTGGATAATTGCTTCTTCTGTCTTCCCATCTTCTCTCTCTCTTCTCTGAACCTCAACATGCTATTGCCCAGATTTCTACTGTGACAATAGAGCTTTTAAAGAAAAAAAATAATTCCATCTTCTTATTATACCTGATTTCCCTTTCTTCTGACCTAGGAATTGTCTTTTAGATCTCATTGACTGTTCACTGATGGTTTCTATTGCATAGCTACCAGACCCAACAAAGATGATAAAATGCAATTTTTGAGTCAGTAAGGAACAGCATTCTATATAATATTTATATCCATAAATTAATTACAATTTAGTATTAGAAGTAACTTTATTATAGGCAAAACAACAATAAAATGATATATTTGTTGTTACAGATGGGAGAGTGCACTCTGTCCTTTCATGAAAAGCAATTAATTGTTAATTATATTTATTACACTCTCTGAGATTTTTATTTAATTATCTGATACATTGAATATTTCTATCACATAGTTCTAAAATATTTGACAATTATGTTTATATTATTATTTTAACTATCCACCCATACAGGAGGCACTGTGGTTATAGAAAGTTTAGTTTTAAATGATGATAATTAAAAGAAAAACAAAGAGGAGAATGAGAAAAAGGAAGAAGAAATTCAGGGGAGTGTTTTACTCTTGGGCTGTAGGAAATTAATATCATATTAACTAATCCTGGGCCTCTCTTCAGGATTTAATATTAAATTAAACCCTGTAAACACAAATGCAATTTGAAAAGTTTAGCGGGTGTTGCTAATTGCTTTGTTTCCCTTTTTAGGAACATCAGTAATCCAAGTGACAGCCTCCGATGCAGACGACCCCACTTATGGAAATAGTGCCAAGTTAGTGTACAGTATTCTTGAAGGACAACCTTACTTCTCAGTGGAGGCCCAAACAGGTAGAGTGGATTGCATTGTCATTGTGAGTCATGACACATTTTAAGTAAGGAGTCCATGCCTGTTCACTTCACTGCTTTGGTTTGAAAATTTATTAAAGTTGAGAGAAATATAAGGGACACTCTGGAGAGTTAGCATGAGGGCCAAAACGCCTATGTACATGTTGGGCATACAACTGAATGAAGCAAAGCCCAATTATTAGTGCCTCAGCTCATAATAATAAATATTTAATAATTCATCTTGTGAGTTGGAAGTGTCTTAAACTGTGGATTTATGAAAAGGACCCCAAAGCTGATTCAAAGAAGTTAACTTTCAAAGCATTCTTGGAAGACCTCTGGGTAAACTCAATACTGTCAGGTGTAATGGTTAATGTTCTTGTTGCAGGAAGATTCAGCACATTTCCAATCTCTCTTTTTGTGCAATAGGTTCCCAATGGATGATACAAAATAAAGAGTAAACCAACAAAGTGAACCAGTATACAATACAAACTCAAACTATGTTGCACTTCATTTATAACAATTGTGATTCTCCACAAGAGTAAACACTATAATTCAACAAAATTGCTCTTCCACAGAATGATAACAAGGACATTTTCTTTCTTCATAGTATGTTCTGTATTTTTGGAAGAGTTTCTCATACAATTTTCAGCTATTACATATTGTTTTCTAATTTTGTACTTTTTAAAAAATTTGCTTGATTAGTTCCTGCCTATATATGCATTAATTTACTTTTTACCACCTTGTTCTAAACAGCAACTTGAGGAGTTACAGTTTATGACTTCATAAAGTCATTTGCCATTAGTCTTTCAGTAGAGGAAGAATAAGGGATTCATCTAGATTTTTGGAGATGCTAAAAACTCCAATCTTTGCTTGAGGAAGCAAGGGTAGTAACTACTGTTTGAAAACCTACAAAACCATCTAACAGATGAAGAAAATGAGGTCTCAGGAGCTATTGAGGTCTCAGGAGGCTATTGCAAAGACACATGCTAACACTGGAGCTTGGGATAGCACAACAAAGACCAACAATTTCTCTTTGTTCTTTATATTTACGCTAAAAATACCACCTTATTCACTGAGTATAAACACTTCCATGTGATCCCTAGAGATGTCAGTAAGCATAGTTTTCATGGAAATCATGTTTCAATGTACAGGGGTCATAAATAATTAAACCATTAATTTATTATGTTTGTCAGTGACAGGTGCAAGCTTTGTTCATCTTCTAACTCATCATTTCACTTATTAAAAATTGATATTAGGATTTTAATGTACTGAATATAATTTATGACTCCTCCTTAAATTGTGCATGGATTGTAGAAATGTTTCTAATAATTTCATGTAGGACTAGATTCCTGAAGGCTTTTGCTAGAAGTCTGGAAGCATAGATTCAGTTATGGGGAGACATACAATAGGCATTTGTTATTTCAGTGTTCAGGAAGAGATTGCTCCTTGCATGCATAATGAAAAACAAAACTAATTAACATTATGTAATATTCTTATTATTTGCTTGAAAATACATACATGCTTTGGGCATGACTACTTTCTGTTATAATTGTCATGTTAAACTGACTTTTCTTTGAGCAAACAGATTCATTTATGTATCTTAACTACCCAGAATCTAAAATATTTTCCTTGTTGAAATTTTGTCATGAATGAAGATCTGTAATTTTGTATTGCTAACCTGGCAGGTATCATCAGAACAGCCCTTCCCAATATGGACAGAGAAGCCAAGGAGGAGTACCATGTGGTGATCCAGGCCAAGGACATGGGTGGACACATGGGCGGGCTCTCAGGGACAACCAAAGTGACGATCACTCTGACTGATGTCAATGACAATCCACCAAAGTTTCCACAGAGTAAGTAGTTGAGGTTGGTCTTTGCACTCCGATTTTACTCAGCTTTCACAAAGAAAAGTCTAGAAAACCAAGGACGATTTTCATCATTCTTGCAAAAAACTAAAACATGGTAACAATTTAATCACACACAAAACAAAGTTAAATGGTATAGAGATATTGAGGAGAAAAGAAGGCACTAAAAAATCTGTAACTCTGGAGACAAAAAAAAAATCTGTGTTTTCTGGTATTTTAATTACTAGGTTATTAGTCATGTAAGGTGGGAATTAATTAACCATTCTCTGTCGTGGTGTCCACATTACGATCCTACATGATATCTGTACATTGATCTGTTATTTATTGTTCCATAACAAACTGTCCCAAATCATGGCGATTTAAAAGAATATTTATCAGTGTGCTAACTTTTCAATTTATGCAGAGCTTAGGAGAGATTGCTGCTCCATTTTCATTCCAGCATCCACTGCTGACATCTCTCTGTGGCTGAAAAGCCCCACTTCTAAGATTACTTACAAGACTGGCACATTGAGATTGACTTTTGCTTCCTCTCCACATGAGCCTTCCTGTGGCTGAGTTCTGATCAGAAGAACTCCAAGACCACAGGAGCCATCTGTTTTGCCTTTTTTGAGCTGACTTCAGAAGTCACGTGGCTTTCTCACTGTACTCATAAACCTGCCAAAATTTCAGTGCAGTTCATCCAGACCTCAATTTTCAATGGAGGGACCATAAGATAATGTTAAAGAAGAGGCTTGTGGGATGAGAGATATTCATGTCTGTTTTTAGAAGATGACATTTTAGTATATAAGTAAAATATTATTGTTATTGTTTGGATTAACCCAGCTAGTGCTGATTCTTATGGCATCTGAAAAATTGGCAATAATTTTTAGCCACTGTTATTTTGATTATTGCACAAAACTTATGATATTGTTGAGGAAATATAAAGAAAAACAAAGGAATAAAAAGATGGCTCAATAGTTAAGAATATCTGCTGCTTTTTCAGAAGACCAATATTGGTGGGTCCCAAAAGGATCTGTTGCCCTCTTCTGGTCTCTGCCCAACCTGCACTCTTGTGCACAGAGCCACAAGACACAGATATATACATCTTTAAATTTGTATTTTTATTATTTTAAATTATGCACTCATGAGTATGCATATGAGGGCTAAGTGTATCTGTGAAAGTGCCCTCAGAAGCCAGAGCTGTCAGATTTCCATGGAGCCATAATTACAAGTGTGTTTAAGCTACTTGGTTTGGGTGCTAGGAACCAAACTCTGGTACACATAATGGGAAGCATAAACTCTTAACCATGAGCCATCTCTCCAGCACTAAATAAGCTAACTCTTTAGATAAAACTATGTTGAAATATTGAAGTTGATAATAGCCTCTAATTTCACCATCATTTAATTACTAGTCGCTGATATTATAAATATCTAACAAAAGCCTATGTTTTAAAGGTTAAAAAGTGACTTCTATGGAAGTACAATGAGTGGCCAAAGAAATTTCCAAAGCCAGACTTTAACACACATTTGTGTGTGTGCAAAGGTGAATACAGAGTTACAACATAATCATAATGACTCTGTGATTTCTAGTAATGGAAAAATAGTCACAATGAGAATCCTTTCCAATGGAGTCTCTTCCTGCAAAGGACTTGAGGTCAGCACCCATATCTGGTAGCTCACAATCTCCTGTGGCTCCAGATGCAGAGGACCTGACAGTCACTCTGGCCTGTGCAAGCACATCCCTACACACAAGACTTACACTAAAAGAGACACATGCACATACACATGAACAATCTTAAGAGTATAAATAAACCAAAAGGAAGGCAATCAAGGAGGACAATTAAGTAGGCCCCTTGGTTATTCAAAGGATTCCAAAGATAGCGATCTATAAAATAGAGATATCAAAGGAGTGGATTATGAGACACATTAGCTTTTGAGGATCCCAAAAGAGATGGGGGAAACTTGATCACCCTGAATAGATTGAAATTTATACAACTTTAAAAAGACTGAGGCTCATGCAACATTGTCAAAGTTGCATATTTCATTCTGTAAAATGGAAATGAAAGAGGGTAAACAGCATTATTTTTGGGTAGCCATTAATGTCCCTTCTTATAAGAAGTCATTAGATAATGATCTCTAAGGTTCCAGTATGAGTGTTTTTACAGCCATGGACTTGAATGGCATTCTGAGAAAAATCGCATGATAGCAGGTCTTCTAAACTTTTATAAACTTTTGTAATTTCTACAAAATGATACTCTGATTTTCCTTTAATGTGAAAGAAATGTAAGATTAAGTTGATAAATCAGTAAAATATAAGCGCAAAAGAAACAGAGCACTGCAAGGATAGATGTAGCCAACACCACTGGGCTGAGCCCTGAAAGTTAGGGTTCCACCACTCTTCAGTGTCTTAAACAGACGCCTTTTCAAAGTGTCACTCATACAATGGTGCTAGATCTCACTACTCTACTGAATATTGTCTGGTGGTTTCCTTAAGTGAAACAACACCTTGTCTATTTTCTTCAATGCCTTTTCAAACATCACCTACCTACTTTTGTTCCTGCAACAGAGGTCCAACTCTCACTTTTGTCCTTCCTATCCGGTCCACTTTCAGAATCTTCTCACCTGAGGTTCTCTGACATTGGTTGTTCCTGGCCCTGTGGCTTATTCTGCACTTATTCATACACGTGTCTTGCTTGGTTCCTTCAGTTGAGTGCAGATTTCTTCTAAAGGAAGCCTTCAATCCTTGCCTGTCCCAAGTTAATCCAGGTCTCCTTTTCACTTGTACATACTTAACAGTGATATGTGTTCAATGACATACATCTGCATAGAAAAAAATTATCTCACACTTCTGTTGGGACTAATTGAGTCCTGGCTTTCAGCTGCTCTCCCTGTCTAGAGCCTCCTAATTGAAGTTACTAGAAGCTGTGCCTAGCTTAGAGGATCAGAAGATGGGATTTTCACCTGTTGGCCATTGACTACAGGATATTTAAGCCTCCATGGTGCTATTAAAGAAGGGCTTTTGGTACCAGTGATTGAAGGTCTGTGTGTCGGTCTGTCTCTGCGTGTGTTTCTTCAACCTCTGGCCCCTTGCCTGAAGCTCGCAAATGGGGTCTATCTAGCACATAGAGCGCAGACCGGGGCCGTAGTGCGCAGCACACTTCCATATGCACATTCACTCATATACAGCATGGTCATACACTTAATTTCCTGCCTGCTTGTGTAACTTAAACACTCCTTCACACACACACCCATGCACCCTCTCCCACACACACACACTTTTTACCCTTTATCACTTACCATACACTATTTCTTAGCCTGTAGCATCACACTATGTATAGATACATTTTGTTTTCTTTCTCTTGTACCTCTCTTAAGGGAAGGATCATGATGCTCTTTTTACTACTGATGTTCAGAGCTAATGGAGTGTGTGATAGCCTTTACATTCTTGTTAAACATAAATATGAAATGTGGCATCATTTACATTTCTGATTACTATACATGTAAGTATGGAGAGAGTAGATTATCTAGAAGCTTCTAGAGAATTCCATGCTTGACTTAGTAGGAAGCATGTGGAGTAAGATGAAATAGAAATATAACAGTAAAATAAGGGATATTCTTGAAAGGTAATGTGGAGTGCTGGAAGCCTTTTAAAGATGGGGTCATCTTTTTTTCTGTTTCTGATTTCATGAGCAATTAACAGTGGTACAAGAAAACCTTGGAATTAATCCGTGGGATATCATGAAAAAGCAAAAGGAAGACTCAGCTGTTCACATATGTGGAGTCTTGCATAGTCCTCCATCACTCCTTTCCTTCCTCTATGGATCAGGTGACCCAATCACCTCACCCAGGACCCCAATATTGTTTTATCATCCTGTAAAGAAACACATTCTTCTAGCAAGCAGGTCATCTGGGACCCTCTTCCTAACCATCTGCTTCTCTTCTATGTTCTACCAATAGAAAGTTCATTTTTAAACCCTTGGAGAAATTTACTGGAATTCAATGAAATCTGAAGTCTTACAGCTGCCAAATAAAAAGGAAAATAAAAGTAGATGTCTTCTTCTTTCAGGCGTGTACCAGATGTCTATTTCAGAAGCAGCTGTCCCGGGGGAGGAAGTAGGAAGAGTGAAGGCTAAAGATCCAGACATTGGAGAAAATGGCTTAGTCACGTACAATATTGTTGATGGAGACGGCGCCGAACTGTTTGAAATCACAACGGACTATGAGACACAGGAAGGTGTGGTGAAGCTGAAAAAGGTAGGTTAGAGGAGTCAGACATGCCAGTCAGGTGATCTGTGTTACCCAAGCAACCTGCAGAAGACAGGGGACTGATGGGTAAGAAATGCACTTATGAAAGACTGAGGGATGACCTCCTCAATTTGCAGCCGAGGACTGAACTTGAAGGAGATAAGAGAAGTCTTTTTCGTACAGATACTGTGAAAGGTGCCGGCAAAATAGCAGATTATACCCATCTGAAGTGGCTGACTTGTTCTCCTGTGTTTTGATAAAATTATTGGGTAGGAGAAAAGTCGACTTGATAACCCTGGATTCTGGAAAGTCACTCTAATTTCCTGGAGGTTTGCCCACCTAACTCAACTAATTCAGGCTGTACAGTGATATTTTAAACATCCCTAGTTCAATGGACCGTGGGATGCGCCATTAAATTTTAACCAATCTCCCTTCCTCTTTTCCTTCCTGAACTTGAAGCAATAATAACGATTCTTCCTCCTTATTCACTTAAACCACCAACAGAAACAAAACATATCTCTTCTCTGGATTGATTAAACACTAGAGCTTACTGCTTCCTTTGGCTTGGTTTTATATAAATCTCATATCTACTCAATACTGATTATTGGGCAGCTATAGCCCACCTCTCATTCATTTTTAACACAAGCATGTCATATGAAATAGATTGTTCCAATGTTCAATAATCCCTCAACTTAATTTTGAAATTGAGACTCAGACAAACTCAGTGACAGTCGCGTGAATACACGCAGAATTCAAATATAGGCGGCATGGGAGCAGTGTCTCTCTTAAGACATTTTGGAAGTAACTGAGCCAGAAAGTCAGATAAGATTCACTATGAAGTGAAGAAACAATTACAGTGCATTCTAAAGCAGTTCCCTCCTGATTTACCACTTGAGAAATCAACACCTCTTCATCATCGCAGTGCATGGAGCATTAAATGTGAATTGGCTGAGGGTATTACCTTGGTTTTAAGAAAGCATTCGTTTGCTACTTGGTTTTATAGCATGAATGTTAAGTTTCTTGGTGTGAAAGAAAAGATTGCTTGGTAACATTGAGAAAAAAATTAAATTGAAGAGTCAATAAAGAAACTAGTAGCCGGAGAGGAAGAGAAGGGGGCCCTAGGAGACATTTTCAGCAGGGAGAACATGGGTGACTGACCTTTCCCTGGGACACAATGCATATTGGGTAGGTGAAAATATGCAGGGGACAGAAAACTAAGAAAAGAAGGTGGCTGTACTGAGACAGCAATAAACTCTCAGGTGGGAACTAAGATAGAGCTCAAATATTTGCATCAGTTGCCACTCCTGACTATGAATTTCATGACCAAAGACGTCTATCAGCCATGAGAGGACGGAGAGCTTTTCTTTCTGGTGCCTCTTTAAAAAAAAAAAAAAAAAAGTAGCGTTGTGAGCTGTGTGTAGCTGTCAACTTTCTTCGTTAATTAATATTACTATCGCCCCTGCATGAAACTGACACGCGAACGTTGACACCAGCGATTCCTGTCTCCCATCCTTTGCTGTTCAAGTAATTGGATGGTTGGTTATGTGAAGGTTGTCACCTGTTTGGAGTGTATTCAGGGCATAAACACACACTGTTCTCTAAGATCCTGAAACATTTAAATCACTCCCATGAAACTCATACATGGCAAATGAGCTCTCTGCATATGATTAATCTGTGCACTTTCCCCCAATTCACTGTTTATTATAGGCAGCGGGATAAGCTTTCACAGAGCACTGACATTTAGATTTAAAACAATGTAGGCTGTTATTTCATTTGGGAGAGAAGATTTACCTTAATTGGCACCACAAAATTCCAAATGCCCACCAGGAAAAAGCAATCAAATGTGAAATTAGTAGACTAAAAATATGAGTCCTTTTGGAAGACATATAATACAAGATTATAAAGACACGTGGAAAGATCAAAGAAATAGTTTTGCATTTTAAAGATTTTCTTTAATATGGCATTTTTATTCACTTCTTGATTCACTTGTTTATTTTCTACTGAGTTAATCAGTTCTAATTATTTGTCCGTCAGGCTTTGGTAAAAGCTGGGAATCTAAAATTTAAGAGATTGACTGCTAGCCACAGGGAATCACAGATTAACAGGAGAGTTCAGTGAAAATCTGGTTATGATGAAAAGAGTTTCCTCAGCCCTGACAATATTGATATTTTAGACTTGATGAATCTTGGTTGTAGAAGAATGTTCTATACAATGCAGGGTACTTACAGATCCTGGAGCTCTTCATATATAGGTTAATGGGTATATACTTTCCATCACCACACTGTGTGAATAATGGTTGAAAATATTGTCCTAGTCCTTACCAAATACCTCTGGAGTGACTGGGAGCAAAATCAGTCCTTATCTGAAAACTCAATTATGCTAAAATGTGTGCTTCCATCTCTATGGGTCAGGAATGGCTCCAAGTCGAATGCATCGTGAGTTGATTCCTGACAGTCGAACGTTGCTTTCCCTGATTGACAAGGAGGAAATAAGGCAGGAACAGAGATCAGGAAAGACTGGTTTCAAAGAAAATGGGACTGAAAGTCATTTAGTCCTTAGAATGGAATGACACTGTAGGACCAGTTGAAAATCTGTTGTTGTGATTAAAAGGAGAAATTTCAGACAGCTGAAGACAGCATAAAACTAATGAAGGAGAAGATGCTTGAGGATTTGGGGAGCTACCGCCAGTCATGTTTGGAAGGAAGGGAATGTATTTTAGGACTACTGCTCATACCATCAAGACCACATGGCAAAATCATTCTTAGCTATCTGACAGACTTCAAAGATTTGTTTTTAAAATTCTTTCCAAAATAATGCAAGATCTCTGATGCAGGTTCAGAGTTTCATGGCAAAGAAGAAGAAAAAAAAAACTATTCTGAGTGTTTAACCCCTCTTTGTGCAGTTGTATGCAGAACAATGTAAAATACAGATCAGCCTTTAGGTGGTTTGGTGCTGCTAGGAAGAAAAATCCACTCATTTGACAGTGCCTTTGGTCAGGTGGAAATTCCACCCACTTGAAACAAACGCCTGCACAGCATCTAAACTGTTCATTTAAAACGAAATAAACCTATGAGGTAGTGTGTGAACAGCAATAGACGATATTTGAAGCATTCCTTGTTCTAATCAATGTTATGTCTGTTTTTAAATTTTTCTTTGGTCTGTGTATTTGTACACATAGCTGTGGATATATAACATTTGCTTGCTTCCAGTCACAGGGTGATCTGATTTGTTAACTTAATGTCACGTCGTAAACACTTTACATGCTGTTATATAACACACATAATCATTTTTAATGACAACATTACATCCCATTCTATCTATGGACTGTGATTTCCTTAATAAAATCTCACAGTTGGATTTTCTGTGCTATCTGTGCATTTCTCCAGATTAGATATAACCTTCTATTGTAGCCAACAAATATTATGCATTTTCAATATTGTTTATTTGTATTTTTTGTTGAATAAATCCCTCAGGGAGAATTTTCAGAGGTAAGGATTAGTAAGCTGGGGTGGGCATTAAGGATTTTATGGCTTATGCAGTGTGTTACCTCATTTAGTTTTATTTCAACTATTCATAGTGTGAGTATAAATGTCCACATGGGGGAACTACCTCAAATCCTGTTTGGAAGGAGAAAGGAAAATTATTGTAAGTAAATGCTTAAATGTTATCCAGTCATTAACCCTGCTGCTCATTGAGAAAAATGAATGGAGCATGTGACTATATGGTGCAGCCATTCCTAGTTATAGAGAGACAAAAATCAATAAGTTTTAATAGATTCCTTGAAGCTGCTTCCTCTTCAGTAGGAAAGGAGAGCTATGAGACTACACACCACTATTTGGGACTCTTGAGTAGGCCTTCACAAGGCATTGACGTTGGGCTAGCTTCCAGAGTACTTAGCAGGTTCTCACAAGAGTGGAAAAGCTGTTCTAGACAAACCGTTGAAATTCCTGGAGATCAAAGCATAGAATGATCTAGATGAAACCAGTTGGTTAGAGTGCAGCATGACCACATGCTGCTCAAGATAAACAGGGTTTTCTAGTGCTAACCCGTCTCTCGGTTTTAGGCATATACCTCCATCAAGTTCAAAAAGGTTTTGCTCTAGGGATATTAGCAGACAGAAATTTCACCTTTTCTGATTACACATCACCTGATCTCAGAATGATCATATTCCAATGTGTGATTCAGTCTAGTCATTACAGAGATTTCTGAGAAATTGCCGCAGCTTTGTATTGACAATCTATAAAGATAATTTATTTCTGCTTCTCAATGCACTAACAAGGATCTAGGAGTTGTTGGGTCCTATCTGGGAAGACAGACTGTTGGAGAATTAGAGAACATGTTAGGCAGTAGGAAAAAGGAGTGATCCTTGATTGCACGGAGATGGAGGTGGAAGGTAACAGAATCAAGGATGTTTAAGATGCTTAAGTTTTCTGAAATGATGATGGTCTTGGGTCTGGAGCAGTGCAGAACTAGGTCAGTCGAAGCTTTGTGATTGTATGTCCATGCAGTATAAGTGTTTACTAGACAAATGACAACTGCATAGAAGGCAGATGCCAGCCTTAAAAGATCAAGCTTATTACAAATATTTGTTAGCTCTGCCTCATTGGCATACTGCTTAGAAAGATGTTTCTCAGAGTCTACGGCTTATATTGTGCCATAATTTTGTTTTTCACCTTCACCACTCTTTGCATTTCTTATCCAGAAGTAAAGGGCACTCGCCATCAATCTCCCTGTGACTGTGTCTATTCAAATGCTGCCTTCAAGTTCATTTGCTTACTTGTGCAAAAATTTGCGCTACTTATACTTGTTGTTCTATAAATGAACCAATTTGTCATTTATGTGTTCTGACCAAAAGGCAGGACTGTCTTCAGTGTCAATTATTTTTCCCTAAGAAAAGGCACCCTAATACTGAATGAACTCAGAACAAAGCTATGATATTACCTTTCACCTAGAAAGCGGTGAACATCTTTTTAAAGGAAGATTGGGGAGCACAACAGACACATTAGAAAAAAAAAACTAGCTCTGAGATGTTCAGGAAGACAAAATTATGTCACTATGTATGTAGGACTGGAGACTTTTCTCAGTGTTTAGAGCACTTGCTGCACAAAGACTAGGCATGTAGATATGCATTCAGATGCTCTGAACCAATAAGAAAAATGGGTTAGTGGAATAGTCTGCTTGCAATTCTACTGCTATAAAAGAAGAGACAGGGGATCTTGGAGCAGGCTAGCTAGCTACACTAGTGGTGTAGTGTAAGTGAGCTCTGAGTTCAGTTGAGCGATCTTTTATGCATGTGCATGTATAAAGTGGAAGAAGGTGGAGGAAGATTTTTCATGTCAGCCTGAAAGCCATGAACACACAATTAAAAATTAAAAAAAGAGAAAAAGTAAATAAGTGTTAATTAACAGTTCCACCTACCAAAATATGTCTATAAACTATGATAAATAATTGAATGTATGTGCTGGTAAGACCGCAGCCTTTGGGAAATGTAATCTAGTCAAAATGTAACCGAAGAAATGAAGCTATCAGTATGAAGAAGCTAGGATATTGTGTGTTTATGTAAAAGACAGTATGAGGCAGTTGTTAAACAAGATGTACCTTTGTCTTTGGGCTAAGAAATAATATGTCCTCTTATTATCAGACTTGTAGCACTTCACAGACTGGTCACCAAATGGCTATTATCTGCCTTCTTGGTGTAGAGAATGAGGTTGACGTTATGTATGTTCCACCTTTGTATTTGCCTTGTTCTTTGCATCATGAACACCGTGCATCATGTTTCAGCAAATGATTGTTCTGATTTTCTGACCATGTGGATATTTAATTAGCATAGATTTTTCCTCTCTTTGAGAAGCTGTTTGCTTCACTCAGTGAACCAATCAGGTCTTTATCTTTCCAAGAACTGGTTCTCAATCTTCTCTTCATTCTTACCAGCCTGTAGATTTTGAAACCAAAAGAGCATATAGCTTGAAGGTAGAGGCCGCCAATGTACATATTGATCCGAAGTTCATCAGCAATGGACCTTTCAAGGACACTGTGACGGTCAAGATTGCAGTAGAAGATGCTGATGAGCCTCCCATGTTCTTGGCCCCAAGTTATATCCATGAAGTCCAAGAAAATGCAGCTGCTGGCACTGTGGTTGGGAGAGTACATGCCAAAGACCCGGATGCTGCCAACAGTCCAATAAGGTACACATAGCTCTATCTTAAGAACATATACAGGAAACTTTAGAGTCAGAAAGTTTGGGGAGAGTCTTACAGGCACCATAACATCCCATCTCAAAGCCGTATCAAGGTTCAATTGATTTCAAATTAAGTTATGATTTACCAGATATGAGTCCATTTCTTTTCTGCTACTATCTTTTTGACTAGGCTTCAAGCTACTTTAGTTAGTTCTTTCTGAAATACATTCCTAATGTATACTAGCTGATTTAACCATTAGCCAGGCCTACGTGCTTTCTGAAACTGGGATACAGTATCAATAACTACCATGAAATAATTATAGCCATTATTTTTATTAATTTCTCCTTAAGCATCACCGGCTTTCATAGGTGTGATAAATGCATGATCCAATTTATCTTCTGAACACGCTTCAAAGGTCACAAACAGAATGACCATCACATGATTGTATTTCTGACACTTAACAAAAGTATGCTGCATCTACATCTCCTTCCCACCATTAACTAGCCTTATCGAGTCATGAGCCTGATGGCCAAGAGGCCATTGTAATGTGGAGACTGAGGGGGGATTTGAACCATAGAGGAAAGTCATTCGTAGAGAGCGAATGTGAAGTTGTGTGAATTCCAGTTCCACAGAATTGTCCTTTCCATAGCTGCCCCTCTATTTTATTTCTTCCATCTGCCTCCTCAGGATCTCTCTGCCTCCAGGCTCCCAGACAGCATAGTGTTATTAATCCTGTAGCCAAAATAACTGCTATAAAAGGCACATTCAAATATCATAGGATTGAAAAACAACAAAACTCTTCCTTCCCACCCTTACATGCTCTGTCCTCCAACTGAAGTCTCGGCTTTCCAAGGTGCAGTGTTGTGATTATTTCTATCTCAAGTGGGGCTGGCTGTGTTAGTCTCATCATCTGAGCTTCAAATCCAGACTCCTTGTTCTCTTATCCGTCCCTTTCTCTCTCTTTACTCAAATCCATCCTTTCCTCCTTTCCTTCATTGCTTGTTTCCCTATGAAAAATTTCCATTTCATAAAGTATAGTATACATCCTTTCAAAGCACACTAGTATTTAGTTTCGTTCAAGTAATATAAATGCTACATGGGATAGTTGAGAACTGGATTTTTCCAATTAGTACCTTTTAGATAATCAATACCATTGTAGATTATACTTAAAATTATTTTTTATTTCCAAATAATATTTCACTGTATGAATACACAGATTCTTGTTTATTTACATGTCACTTGTATGGGCATTCATGTCACTTTAAGTGTTGGATTTTACAGATACAGCTTCTGATTACACTGGTCCACAGATCTTTGCATACATGTAAGGCCTTTCTCTTGGCTATATAACTAGAATTAGAATTGGTTAATCACATAGCAACTGTGTGTTTAAATTTCTGAGCAGCTGCCAAGTTTTTTTTTCCACACAATACCTGCAACATTTTCCAATAGTGTCAGCAGTGTAGCTTACATGTTTTGATTCTAGACACATTAATAAATTCCAAACCACATGTCATATTTGTTTCACTGATAGGTACTAGTAGGAAGTAGTATGTCATAAAGACACTTAGTAGCAGTCTGCATCTTCTAGAAGAAATAGAAACACCTGTTTAAATCCTTTTCCCATTATATAATTGCATTAACCATTATTTTGTTGACATTCCTTTATCCCATGTCCAAAAATGAAAAAGGAAATCACAACAGGAGAGAAGATTATGTATTGCATTTTAGAATATTATTACTGATGAGAGATACCATTTTTGAATGCTTTCTTAGAATCAAAGCAATATGTTTAAGGCAGCTTTTCTGAATCTTCATATATCACGTTGAGAGTGTAACTGCTTTAGAAGTCAGTTGATGGAAATACTGTGCTCATCGTGATAATATGACTTGCTTAAGCTCACATGACCAGTTTGGATACTGGATTCTAACCCAGATCTATTTTAACTTCCATCTACTCTCTTAGATATAGGCAATTGGTAATAAAGGTGTTTCTTCAGAAACATCTGACTATTCTGTTCTTTTGGTAAAAGAATCTTCCTTTGTAATGACAGGAGACCTTTCCTGTGCCTCTAACTGCTTTAAGATATCAATAGTTATGACTCTATACAAGTTACTTTTGACCTAGAATACCAAGGCATGTTGGGGACTTTTTAGAAAAACCACAGTATAAAGACACATAGAGCAATTACCTATTTCCCCTGCACTTTATTACTTCCAGGGATCCAAATCTGCAATCCATTTATTTGGATCATGTTTTCAGTGGTAGCTGTTCCATGCATGCAGGCAATTTGCAAGTCTATTAATTACCCACATATTCCCAATAACCAAGTAGAGCCAAGATCCTACCCTAACCATGTGCATATACAACACACTTTATTGACTGAACCATCTCACAGAAATCACCAGAACTCTGAGCCTCTTTCGTATTTAGATCTCTCTTCTCAGATTCTATATAGCATTTAAGACATTTTTGGTTAGGATTTTGTTTTTTGTTTGTTTGTTTATTTTTTCTTTTTTAACTGAAATTCTCTCTCTCCTTGCTTTCTTTCACATTCACTCCTTCCTGCCTGCTAATTAGTGTCTTATTTAAGTATTCAATTACCTTTCAAGCATTGCAGGTTCCCTAAGGTTCAGTGTTTGACTTTGGAGTCTCTCTGTATCCACTCCCCTGGAGGATTTTCACTCATGCGCTATGATTGAATTGTGTTGGTCTCTCACATTCTTTGTGTATAGTCTGATTTTTCTTTTGATTCTAACTGTGAATTTACGAGAGTAAATGTTGTTAATTTTTATCCTTTATTGGTTTTTCTTCACTGGCTTATTTATTCTTCCTTACGATATTTGCGGGCAGAGATAGGCATATAGGTCAGTGATAGAGAGCTTGGCAAGCATCAACAGTGCTGTGACTTCTGGTTTCAGTGCTGTAGAAACACAACAGTGTGTTTGCTGTGCCTTATTTAAAATTAGAAAGAGGGGCACAGGTGCATCTTAGTAAAGTACTTACACTTGGGAAGCATGGTGATCTGAGACTGATCCCAAGAATCCACATGAGAATGCTGGTTATGGTGGATCACACTTGTAATTCTGCTACTGCTGAAGAGGAGACCAGTGGATCCTGGGGGATTTCTGGTCATGAGCCTAGCTGACTTGAAGCGCTCAATGCTGGTGACAGACTCTGTCCCCTAACATGTAGCATGCAGTTCTTGAATACCAATAGCTAAGGTTTTTCTGCAGCCTCTAAATGCATATATACATGTAAGTATCTTCCTCTAGGCACATGTATCTCTATATACACAAAGGCAATACCAGCACCAGCACTAGCACCAGCCTCCTCATCTCACTCAAGCAGCTAATTATCTCTGCCTTTCAGAGAAATTAAACCTTTACTCTCTTAACATTGCAACCTATTCCTAGTTGAACTTCAACCTCTATTACCTGCTAAATTAACTTAATTTTGTGTCTTCCAACAGCTCCCTCTCAGAGAGTTAGGCCAGAAACGTTGAAAACTCTCCTAACCATCCCAGATATTTATATCTTGACTGACTCCTACTGCTATTCCTCTCATCACATAGTTTTCAGCCCCCCCGGAATTTCAGTAACTATTTCTGCTATTTTGAAAACTACATCAAATTCTGAAATTTTCTCTCTCTCTCTCTCTGGATCTTTCTTTTTCTGTAATATCTGAATGATCACTCTGATTTCATTTGTTTGCTTTTTTTTTTTTTTTTTTTTTTTGCTTAAAGGTCTTCCATAGTTTACCATTGGCTTCATGATGGAGGTTACCCTCTGATATTCAAAAACTTTCATATTTTCTCCTCAATACAACAACAGCAGGAGCAAAAACTAAAATAGCAGCTCCTTTGGGTTCCATTGATTAATGTGGGTGAGGTATGAGGATGCTTCTTTTAATTCTCACATATAATATCAAGTTAGGGACAATTGCGATTCTAGTGTAAAGATAAATATGCTGAAGTTAAGTAATTTTGTAAATGGTGACTGCTCATTCGTTTCCCAACTGCTCAGACCCATACAATCACATAAAAACTATATTAACTGCAACACTGTTCAGCCAAAAGTTCAGACATATTCCTAGCTAGCTCTCAAATCTTGAATTAACACATTTCTATTAATCTAGGTGACAGCCCAAGGCTGTGGCTACTGGTAAGGATCCAGCGTCTGTCTCCTTAGGCAGCTACATGGCCTCTTACTGACTCCACCTACTTTCTCTCTATATCTCTGTTTGGATTTCCCACTTGGCTTTGCTCTGCTAAGCCATTGACCTGAAACAGCTTTATTCACTAGCCAATAAAAGCAACACATGCACAGAAGGACTTCCACGTCATAATTTTAAGTGACTTTCTTGAAATATTTTTATTTAGATTATGTGCAGTGGGGCATGACTCGATCTAAGATTTTGCAAAATCTAGATCCGTGGACCATTTTTATGTCTTTAAAATTATGTCTTGCCCGTTCTTCTGCCTTATTGTACATGTGCCATCAGGTTACTTAAATAGGAAGCTGCATTATGTCAGGAAACATGTCTTCTGTTATTGTACATAAAATTATCTGCTGAGGGCTCAGTTGTAGAGCTTTAACTGGCTTTGATGAAATGCAAGACCAAGTTGAAGTCCACCTCCAGGAAAAAGGAAAACTACTCATTTTTCATAAGGAGCCATAGAATCAAAGTTCATCAGGCCTGACCTCATGTATTGAATATTATAAAGTGCTGGTCCATGAGATAGGAAGATCTTTCTGGCAACATTGCTTCCTCTGAGACGAGACATATACCATTTGCAAATCCCTTCCTGTAGAATTTTAGTAGAGTAGGCTCTTTGATATCCTGAATCCTTGCTAACTCTGATATTCTTATATTTTTAAGCACCACTGATGACTTAAAACACACATACTCTGTACATCCCACACCTGATCATACCTGAATAAAGACTTCTTTATAACATTCTGAGACTCCTTTTGTGTTTGTCTGAAAGAGACAAATTCTGAGTGAGTAGGATTTGATAAAACCTTTGTACTTTACTGTGAAGCTCAGCACAACCAGGAAGAGGATGACTTATAGGTAACTGCTGAGCCTTGTTTGTGTTTGCACCTTGGAATTCAGAACCAAATTACCTCTTGGTCTCTATAGTTATCTAAACAAAACAAAACAAAAACCATGCAAAATATAACAAATTCTTTAAATGTGGAACATACCGATGTATAGAGCTATAAGTGATCTTTAATGATGAATTTAGACAAACTTGAAGCTATTAAATATTTCATATGCCAAAATTTGGCAAAGGTTTGATACATTTGTGACTTTCTGAGTATTTGGGAGTGATGCAAACTCACTCCCCAAATGCAGTTTCATAAATATTCAGACGGTGGGTGATCATAGTAAATATGGAGAAATATGCAACACATTATTATACTTCTCAATCAAATATGCTAAACAGCATTTTCATTCATTGTACCAAATAAAGAATTCCAATGTACCAAAATGATTTCTATAAAATATTCATGTGTAAAGTTTGAAAAATAAATTTGATTAAAAAGAAAACATAAGTCATGAAATCAGTTGAAAAAAAGTTGCTTTAAATATAAAATGGAGAAAATATGCAAATATTAAACTGCTCTGAATGTCTTGGTCTAATTGCCTCATTTGCATTCTGCTTAGGTATTCAATTGATCGTCATACTGACCTCGACAGGTTTTTCACAATTAATCCAGAGGATGGTTTTATTAAAACCACAAAACCTCTAGATAGAGAGGAAACTGCCTGGCTCAACATCTCTGTCTTTGCAGCAGAAATTCGTAAGTATTTTCATGAGGACTTTGATTTGCCATTACTAAATATTAATTCTTCTGACTCCAGTCTATAAAACAAAATTGCTGAGATTTTTTTGCTTGTTTGTTTTGTTTCAGACTTCTTACTCTGTTTATTGAAATTATAGTTTATCTCACAGAATATTTCTTTTTTTAATATTTATTTATTTATTATATATACAATATTCTTTCTACATGTATGCCTGCAGGCCAGAAGAGGGCACCAGACCTCATTACAGATGGTTGTGAGCCACCATGTGGTTGCCGGGAATTGAACTCAGGACCTCTGGAAGAGCAGGCAATGCTCTTAACCGCTGAGCCATCGCTCCAGCCCCCTCACAGAATATTTCTTGAATACCTTTCCCATTCTTTTACTGCTCTCAGTCCTTCACCTCCCCTCCCACTGGGATCTACACCCACTCATTAGAAAATGAGTGGGCTTCTAAGGGATAATATTAAAATAAAATATAGTAAGATAAGACAAATAGTAGGTCACCTGAATTGAACCAAACAAACAGATCAACAGAAGAGAAAGAGTCCCAGAGAAGGCAACAGGTATCTACTAGTTCACACACTCAGGAATCCCATAAAATCACCAAACTGGAAGTCATAATAAATTCAGACCCCTGTAGTGCAGGCCTAATGCAGACCTTGGCAGTCTTTTGGATGCTGTATCAATCTCTTTGAGTTCATGTGAACTTTCAGGTTGATTTAGAGGGCTTCATTGTCTTGATGCCTTCCAACCCCTCTGTTTCTTACACTTGCTTCTGCCTCTTCTTCTGCAGGGTTCCCTGAGACTTGAAGGGATGGATTTGATGCAGACATACCTTTTAGGGATCAATATCCCAAGGTCTCTCACTCTCTACACAATGCCTGACTGTGGGTCTCTGTCCCTTCTGCTGCAGGACAAAATTTCTCTCATGATGGTTGAGCAAGGCACTGATCTAGGACATGGCAAAATGTCATTAGGAGTCATTTTGCTTTTACATTTATTTTCTTCCTTTCTTCCTTCCTTCCTTCCTTCCTTCCTTCCTTCCTTCCTTCCCACCTTCTTTCATTCCTTTTTAGAACAGTAGTATTTGATTTTATCCTAGCTCACTCGGGTTGTTTTTGTTGTTATTATT